AGAGAGAGAGAGAGAGAGAGAGAGGGGGGGGGCATCAACTGAGCTTCTAATGAAAACAGTCACAGATAGATGGGGGCATCAACATAGATCTGCTGAGACAATTCCACTTTGCCCTGTGTTCCGCTTTACCCCGGGTTCCCCTACTTTGCAGTTTAATGTGTGCGGATGCTTTCAAATGTTTAACTATAAATGTCGAAAAGTAGTTGCTACTGTTCGTAGCGTACTGTGTCGGCGTGCTATCTTTTATCATATTACATGTCAAATATTTATTAGGGCTGTTAAGTTACTCGATTAAGAGATATTACTATTATATAATCTGTGCTCAATTATACGGTTATGATGTGGTTATATGCCTCTTATCTTTTTATCGTACAGTGTCGTGCATTGTGTGATTTATTACTGTATTAAGGTACTTATTAATACAATTACTCGTGAATTAGTATAATGTACAATATAACTCGCAATTATAAACTGATTATTACCTTTGTTTGTCACGGACGTGACACGCGTTTTTTTGGAGAACAAATAAGTTCTGACTATTACACACATGAACACGCACGCACGCACGCATGCCCACGCACGCACGCACACACTACACCCGCGCATAAGCATATATGTACACACACACTCTTGTGTTATCTTCGGAGCCACACCCGCTTTACTAACAACAAGATACACTGCTGAGGTAATTTTTTATACAAGACCTGATGATTTATTGCATTACTCATCCGTACAGTGAGTATATAGTCGGGTTTAATGCGAAATATCAACACTAACTTACCACTATCTTTGGAATAATATCTATACACACTAAAAGTAGCTGTATAAAAATTCACACAACCGCTAATCTAGGTAGTCTTTATATAATGTCATTATATAATCACAGCTTCTACTGATTGGGTTGGCATGCCAGGGCACTCAACTTACAATCTTCTTCTTCTTAAATGTAAAATGCTCATCATGTATTGACTACGAAAGGGCATTAAATTACCATCCCATCCGCATGCAGACACCATATATCGGTAAAATCACTGACTTTTATGCACCTTACTGATTGTGACTTATAATGAATTCTATGCGACGTCTACTTGTCGTATTTCACACTTCGATCGCTCGCACTCTCGGAGAACTTCAAATGCCAGGTCCGCGTCCCGTGATTGGCCACACGGCTTCGACGCTGTCGCCACGGACACCGACCAGCCAATCGTAGAGGTTGACGGTGGGGTCGCAGTGTCCCGGCACGAGCCACACCAAGTCTCCCACCTATCCAATCACAGAGATCATCAGTTACTCATCTCGGGTGCCAGGGAGACTCGCGCCGCCATTGCCGCCAGCAGATGAAAGGTCATGACTTACAGTCACGCATTGATTATTCAGCGACTCATCTCCACATGTAAAGTTTTGCGCGACCGTCTCCTAGCCCACCATTGAAAAAAAGACTAGTGTTTACCTGCAACTCCCCTCCTATCCCCTAAAGGCCAAACAGTATCAACTTCCTTCTCTATCTGAGGAGAAAGTCAACAGACAGAGCAGATAATGTGCGAAGACTTTCAATCGTCACAGATAAGTTACGATGACATTGACGCCAGCGGCGATTAGTGACGGGTGTGGGACACACGTCAACACAGCTATCCATCATCGTCATCGTCATCGTCATCGTCGTCATCGTCGTCGTCGTCGTCGTCGTCGGTGGGGGATGGCACATTGCCATCAGTGCACGGGTACGGTGGCCCATCAGTGATTAACTTGGCTCATGCTGCTACTGCTGCTGCTGATACTGCTGCTGATACTGCTGTTGCTGCTACTGCTGATACTGCTGCTGCTATTGCTGCTGCTGCTACTGTTGCTGCTGATACTGATGCTGCTGATACTGCTGCTGCTACTGCTGCTGCTGATACTGCTGCTACTGCTGCTGCTGATACTGATACTGCTGCTGCTGCTGCTGCTGCTGCTGATACTGCTGCTACTGCTGATACTGCTGCTACTGCTGCTGCTGATACTGATACTGCTGCTGCTGATACTGCTGCTGCTGATACTGCTGCTGCTACTGCTGGTGGTACTGCTGCTGCTGATACTGCTGCTGCTGCTGCTGCTGCTGCTGATACTGCTGATACTGCTGATACTGCTGCTGCTGCTGCTGCTGATACTGATACTGCTGCTGC